GTGCTGCGTGAGAGGTTCAGAAATTTTAAATATTCCTTCTTCAGAGAGAAAAAATTTAAACATATTAGAATATATTACATATTAGAATTTGCAGAAAAAAAAATATTTTTTATATTATTCGTTGTTATTATTATATTGCTCTAACACTCTATATATCTAAATCTCTATGTATATATATACATAGAGAAATTATTTTTTTCGGCAAATTCTCGGAATCGACATATAAAATTATAACTGATCTAACTTTTGAATCGTTGGAGATAAACAAATGAAATAATATATATTCCTCAAGAAAATTGAATTATTAAAAACTTTCTTCCTCATGAGTTAACCGTAAAATGAAGCAATCAAAAGTTTAACTAGTTAAACACAGTAAAAAACATGAGGTAAACTTTTTTTTCCACATTAGAAATAGAGGAGGATGGATATCTCCGAAATTAAGCGAGATAGCGAAAGAAGGTAAATATCAATTATATGGCAAATTTTATGAGCATTAATTTTTTATAGAACGTCTTTGTCAATGCGATGGATTGTTTACCTGATATATGCGAAAACTCGAAAAACAACAATAAACACGAGGCAAAACTTTTTTTTCAAAATTGGTCATTTTTGACGACGGATATCTCGGAAACTAAGCGAGAAAGCTAAAAAAGGTATAAAATCAATCATGTCGAAAATTTTATCAGCTTTAATTTTGTACAGAACGTCTTTGTCAATGCGGTGGATATTTTTCCTGATATACGCGAAAACCCGAAAAAAGTGGCCAACTAGGCGCCGGCCACATCTGGCTCACCACCTAGGAGTGGGGACTTTTATTATGTTTACCTCCTGACTAGTCCAAACAATGTCCCAAAGTCAAAAATTGTGTGCCCGCCATTTCCTACTATAATCATTCATTGGCGGGACTCACGTGACTTTACTCAAGATTTCCGAAGCAGTTGATGCATTTGCTGGTATTCCTTTTTTTTTGTTCAATTCTCTGATGCAAAAGGTACAACTCCCAAAGATATGGACCACATGTCATTCTCTCTCCACACTTCCGACAAATTGGCGGGTTTTCATTTGTAATTAAGAACATGTGTCGGTTATTAGTGCAGTGATGGCGTTTAAAATAAAGGAGTCTTTAATTTTGATCTTGATTAAATTAATTTCAATAATTATAATTTTTGAGGTATGGGACCATAAATTAATTTATTTATCAATAATTTAGACTTTTTAAAAATAAAAAATAACGTTAGAAAATTGTCAAAGTAGTTTCCTTTAACAAATGGCTTCATTACATATTTATTAAATTAAAAAAAAATTAATTGAAACGATTATATCTTTATTTCTAATAAAATTTACGTTACACGTTTTTTTTTTTTTTTTAGAAATATTATTGTGTTAAGAATTTAAAAGATCTAGTAGCAAAACATATTAAAATACTTAACTTTAGTATATTAATAAAGCAACTGTGTTAGAGAAATATTGCATATAATAAAATTCAAATATTACATAATAGAAAACAACATGAGAAATAAATTTAATTTTATTTGGAGGGAAGAGATTACATCATTGTCCGGGGCGCCAAATTTCTAAGGGCGGCATTGTCTGTTGTCATGTTATTTTTAAATTTAGTCTCTATAAAAATAAATAATAAAATTCCAGCAATATATATCAGAATATGTGGTATACCAAATGAAGACAAATAAACTTTGGTTAAGACATACATTATAGTCTTCCGAACTAACATGCAATCGCCTTAACTAAAATAACCTAGATATAAAATAGTTTAAAACAATAAATATGATTTAGGATAGTTATTCGTTTCGAATCACCGGTTATAACGGGAATTTCGGTAATAGGCTATTACACAACGGCTCCTTCCCAGTAATAGGTTATTTTAAAGGAGGCGTTATTTTTGTCACACTGCTATCCTTCCAGAGTTACCAGATACTTTTTGTCAAATAAATCTGTACTTAAACGACCAGTTGACACGCCATTAATCTTTATATTATGGATGGGGAACGCTAGGTGACCCAGTAAATTAATACACCTCAGACCTAAAATTGTCCTATTACGTCTTTGATTTTACTAACTACAAAACTCAATAACTTGATAACAAACCCACAAAGAATCGACATCGATAAAATAATTGAACTTAGGCTAAAAAATAAGTAAATATTAATAATTTTATTTTTTACTCACAAGAGCAAAAATTTTGTAACCAAAAACTGGCTACAAAACCAGATTGAAAGACGTAATACATTGTGTCAGACCAATCTTTTTGTTCAGACATGGTCCCAAGTTTGCACAACACGACAGTACAATTTAAAACAATATACTGGATTGAACCATGGACACTAACGCATAAGATAACGCGTTTGTTTATTTAAATAAAAGGATACTCTCGCAAGGAATAAAGTAGAGATTGAGATTAGTTAAAAGCTGAAAATAATATACGAAATTACAATGTCATATATAATGATTTATCAACAATATACCATTATTAAAAAAAAAAAGTAAAATTTTAAATTTTTATAAAAACAGATAAACAGGGTCCCTAACAGATAAACAAAAATGTATTCGTACGTAGGAAAATTCTATGAACGTCAAAATATTCATCATTACTGACTATAATAAACTACAATAATAATATGAGTAATAAATATGTATATATTACTGAGTATAACATTTTTAAAAAAATAGTTATGCTTAGTAAGTAACTTTATATTTAATTAAAATTATTATTAATTAATTTATAAATATTGTACACTTCAAGAACTACATTAATACTTATGCAAGCACGGGCTAGGCATTTCATATACAATGCATTTTCTCAATCCATTATTTTCTAAAAAAAAATATATATACAAGTAATCCGGTAAAGCCAATATTATAGTAAAGAGCAATATTATTTTTATTATTAATATCTGTGAAACCGGAAAATCTGTCATAATGGGTGAGTCTGTTTATAATTTGTAATAACCGAACCACTTTTTGACATAATAATTCAACAGTTATTCGAAATTTCATAAAAATATTCTTACTCAAATTACGTATGACCAGGTTCAACTGAAAAACAATAAACTGGTAGGGTTTCATTATATGGTATTTATTTATATTGCATTTTTTTACGTTGGGTTGTAAAAGTGATGGTATATGCAACAAAACCTTGATCGTAAGGCATGCTTAAATTAGTAATGCACGTTTTTATTACTGTAAAGGAATTCGTTCTCAAATGATTTTTGAAAAAAAAAAACTCATATTATCATGTTATTAATAATGGTGGTGGGCGTACATTCGACATAATTTCTCTATAATAAATAATGATAAAATTGAAATATATTTTTTTATTAGTGCATTTTTATAAATATGTGTTTATTGAACAGATTGGTTACCAGGAACATTTGCTATCAAGGGAAACCAATCTTTGATACAAAATCGATACATGAATTTCTCACAGTTTTCTTTTTATTATTGAAAAACAAATTATTGTTACTTTCGTCAATTTTTCGAGTGTTTAATCTAACTTCTGGAAGAATTCTATTGGAAGTTTTGGAAAACAAAATTGACTATATCACCTAAAAAAATGATGTAATGATAAAATCTTCGACGAAATGATTTATCCTTTAATAAACAATGGAAAACTGGAAGGATTATTTTTCTCACGAAAAGGTTCAAATTTAGATTATTTAATCCTTCCTTAATAAATAATACAAGTTGATATTGTTTAATTGAAATGTACATATATGAAACGTTTTGTGTTCGTAATCCTAAATTTATTGTACATAGTCATGAACCTTTTCAAGAAGATTTACTTTATTTGTATTTAATAACAGCGATGCGGCTGAGTGGGAGGTGCTGGGATCTCTTAGAGTCCTACCTTTCCTTCCACGAGTGAGGGGAAAGGCTTGGACTCGGAGATATTGGGTGAAATAATTTTTTTAATATTGTATAAAAGCATGTAGGGTATTTAAGTAGTTATTAAGATTAGTGGGCGGGATGGCCGAATGGGCTAACGCGTGTGCAAAGCACCGCCGTTGCTCGGCAACCTGGACAAATGATATAAAAATAGTCACGAGTTCGCGTCCCGGTGCCGAGGGAGTCTTTTAAATCCCCGCTCACAACCCCTGGCTCAGGAAAACCTCGTATAGCCTTTAACGGCGAGGAAGGGAAGGAACCAATAAAAATAAGTTTAGTTTCTTTTAGTTTATAGACATTTATTTTTAGTATTATTATTTTACTGTTTATTTATTGTACAAAGTGTGAATGAGCTACCCTTTATCACCATTACTATTGTCCGTAGATGTGACAGATTGTAATATATCTCAATAAAAAATTAAAAAAAAAAATGTTCTATTGTATTTATATATTGTATGCATGAACACTTAATACTTATTGTAATATTATTCATTAAAAAAAATCCTTAACTAGCTAACTTTTTTGTCATTTATCTAAAAATGTTAAATAAATCTTTCTTTTCTTTTTAATGTGACATATTTCCTATTCTCGTATAATATCACCATACTGTTCCAAAAGCAACAACTACGTATTTTGGATTTCACAATGATTAACGACTTTGCACACATACTATTATATTATTATATAATATTGCACGGACACATATACATCGTTTACATTAACTATAGGCGTCACCTAATGAACGTAATTCAAGCAAAATACAAGTTACTCCTGTAAGGTTTTAGGAGATGCGATATCATGAATAACACGAAACTAGTACCGTCAGGACAGGTTTTGATGTCAGCCCAGGGAAAAATTACGTACTGGTTCATTGCGAAATGAAGGGGTCGGTTTGACATTCCAATAATCAATGCGGAACAAAGTATAAAAAATCTCTTGAACCATTTTAAAAAATATTACACTAAATTACCCAAATGAGACTTCAAAGCTAAACTAAGGCGAAACATCAGTTTAGGCTCACAACATGGAACAGGGAAAAGCGATGTCAATGGATTTAGTATAACATATCTGGCAGAGGACATAGGACTAGTTGTAAGATGTTCCCGCAAAAGGACACCCATAAATATACTTGGGTAAGATCCAAAGGAGCGAAAAATAAAGTTGATGCTAGCGGCTTCAGTGGACCAGACTGCGATTCGGGCTACATACAGGTCAGGGACAGAAGAGAACCCACAAACTCTGAGATTTTTCTGAGAATAGGAGGTAGGAAATCGGAAAATTGAAAATTCTTTGAGCACAATTGAATACCCCAAATAGAGCTGTGATATGTAAAAACAAAAAAAAAAACCTTAAAACGAAGAAATGAAAACTTTATAGAAAATCACCAGGCATTAAAAATGTTGTTAAATATTGGTTTACGGAAGCCGACAAACGGACTGAAACAGGAATAAACTGCTAGACGTTTACATACACCAACAATACAAACGCTAAGTTTCTAATTAATTATAAAAGACAAATTAACTTGACTGCAATAAGGCCTATTTGGACTAATGGAATTGAGCTTTGTAGCTCAAGTAAGCCATCACATCGTTCTCGTTTCCAATCCTTACTATCCAAAATCCATGGCAAAATCCACAACGCTCCTTACTTTGTCACAAATGAAATTATCCATTATGATCTTAATGTTCTATATGTTACCGATTCAGGCCAATCCGGATACATATCCTTCCATAATAAACTTCAGGTTCATCGTAAACCACTAGTTTCTAATCCTTGCATTCTCTTCGATTCCTAACGGTCCTCCTAGGCGTGCGAATAGATGAAGTCATTATAGCAATTCTACATTTACTTGTATTTTTGGTTGAATGTATATTTTTATAATTGTAGGTTAGGACTTCGTATTATTATAATAATAACCGACGTTTCAGCCCTCAGGCCATTTTCAAGGAATGATGTAAATGTAAATCTAAGCCTGTTAAAAAAAATATTTAAAACGACCGAATTTCCTTGTCATTCTAAATTGATTACTAGGATGACAAGGACAATTCAGTCCAATTATTTTAAATATTTTTTCTAAACAGGTCTCATCCGTAGAAAATGGCCTAAGGGCTGAAACGTACGTGTAAAAAATAAAATAAAGTAGGACTGGTGTGATTAATATGAGGATTTTTATTATTATTATATTTTTAGTTAATGCAGTAGTAAATTTCAATGAATATATTTTTAAAAAATGAGAAAAAAGTACAAATATTTCAAATTCAAACAAGAAAAAGACAGAAATCCTGAAATACTCATTTCCTCTGTGGTGAATTGAAAAAAGCATCCAGGTTTACATTTTTAAAAAATTGATAACATTTGAAACACAGTTGATAACATTTGAAGAGGATTGACTTGAAAGAACTTTTATTATTATTAAATTACTATTATTAAAATAGAAAAATGCGTAGCTTGCTTCTAAATATTTTTAGGAGGAGGAGGGGCAAGTAGAATCTTCACCATCATTCGTATCCAACCAAATTTCTTAAATATTTTCAACAATTTTAACTGAAATAAAGTTTTAATTGAGTTCTTGTTAAATTGATTTCTTGTTATGAGAGGTACGTTCCTTCTCAAGTGCTCTCCCGGCGTTACACTTACTCAGGTTTAACTTACAGGATAGAGAGGGAACTACAATAATATTGCATGGCTGATCATCTGCAATGCGTTGCTAAATCACACAGCATACTCATCAATTAACAGACAATATTTTTAAAAAAATAAGAGATAGTTCGGTGGGATCATTGTAATATATAATAAATATGCCATGAACAATTTACAGAATCACATAAGCGAACGCAAAATCTCATCATGTCCAATATTGACAAATACTCCAGTTACGTCCAAGAATGCTAGTGTAATATCTTTATGTTTGATCTTAGCATCCTTGAGAACAGTCTCAATGATTCTTGAGTCCACGTGGAACTCGGGTTGTTTAATCACGAAATGCCTCTGGTCGGGGTGAAAGGAAATTTGCATCCAAAGCTCGTGATCAAAATCTTTTTCAATGATACGCCTTAATATGGGATAAATAGTTGTGAGTTCCAAGAAGACAAATCCTCACTAGAATCATTTTCTTTATAAATTAAACTGTTCGCCCCAAACGGAGACTAAACTATTATCATTTTGGCGATTTCATAGATATCCTCTCTGTTGCCTTATGAACAACTCTTAGCTCTAAATTCGGAATATTGGGAGAGGGTACATAGCCATTAAATTATAATTTTGCATTCAAAGAGTGATCAAAAATTAACTTTAATCTTCTCAATTTTAATAGAACATTGTTCGAATTCATTATAGGTTGGACCACTTTCTACAACTGCAATACTTATACTGGGCCAGGTCATACTCGTATTTCTCCCGTCTTCTCTTCATGGCTGCCTTGCTAAATCTCAGGGGATTGCTAACATTTCGATCCCGCTTACCCATCATTTCTTAGTTAATCCTTCTACGCATCTATAGATAAAACCGTATAGCTGGATGTTTTGGGCCAGGAAGTGCTTTATTAACCGCTCTAAGGAAAAGAAGAAAATTGCACATAATTGTGTTGAAGTTGTCTGAATCCAAAGGAGCTTTTCTTAACTTCAAGCTAACCATGCTCTCTGTTAGCTGTTTATCGTTTCCATTTATATTTTTCTTCTCAATTGATATAAGTTTGACCCTATTTTATTCTGCTGGGTGTCTCTTTGATATGCGAATTGTAAGACCACTTTTATTTTTATTTATTTATATATGTACATGAGCACACCCACTAGCACACATAAAGTTTTACTATATTTTAATCACTCTGTAAAGAGGATACTAATGATGTCAAAAACTTTCTCTTCACGAATCACAACCATTTATTGTTTATTCTTTATGTAACCTATCGATCGAAAGGTTTCAACGGAGAATACCTACCAATCTGGTATAGTCAAGCAACAACTTTTAAGAGAACATCATAATTCCAAGTTATCCCAGGAACATAATATTCCTAAGTTTTTTTTTTTTATAGATTTCATACATTTTGGAGTGACGCGGAGCGGATGGAAATCCATCGGACCGAATCTCAATCATGCAATGCCAAATCTAATCAACTGACCGTGAATGTGGACAACTGATGGAGTGGAAATGGTAAAGCAGTTATTTATTTATTTTTTAAATGTAAATTACGATTTAAAAAAACAACATAAACATTACTTAAAAAACAATGAACATTTTTAGCAGATTTTTAATTTATTATGTACTTTTTTAATTATTAATTTTTTAAATTAGGAAAGCTTACACGCGCTAACCCTTTAAAACAATTCTTATCTAGGATCAATTATTATAAACAATTATTATCTAGCTCCAATCGTCCCTGATAATTCTTCCTAAAGGTCGGAAAGCCAGTTAATATTGAGTCACGTGAATATTATTCCACTCCAAAGCTTCCCTTCTCAAAGCGAATTTTGATGACAAATCCTATCAAAGGCGAAACTGAATCCATTTTATGAAATATTGGAAGTGCTTAGTAATGTGACAGTCCGACGGAGAGGTTTCGACAGAGCCTCGGCACACCTTGTTCGACTTGTGATATTTAAATCTCGCCTAACTGTTACAACATCTGTTTAATTTGGCCGTCGAACCACATGACTGTTGGTATAGTTTCTTAGTAGATAGCTCTAATTAATTAAGGATCAATAAACATGAGCAACGCACTCAAAAATCAAGCTTCATTGCCGAAAATTGCAACTATAGTTAACGCAATAGTTATTACGACGAACGATGTATAGCTGAATAATGAACAAAAAACACCTTAAAATATTTAGAAAGTTTCTTGATTAGAATGAACTTTGTACATATATTTATCGCTCACAAGTCATAGAGAACAATTGAAAAAAAAATATTACTCAAGCCTTTTCAATATTGATTCTTCGAGATATTCTACGATATTACAAAGGGTTATAAGTTATGCTAGTGAGAAAAACATTCCTCGATACAAACTAGAGATTAGATATTAAAAAAAAATTGTATTTTTCAAAAATATAGATGTTCATTCTCAATTATTCATCCACCTCCTCATCAATCAATCTTTCGAATATATGTAAGAATTAAATTTTCGTATTTAAGTGCTGTCAACCGGATTTTATTGTTATTTCATAGTTATCTATATCTATATTATGTAGGTTGCTTGTCAGTACACGTATGAAAACATACTGACATCTATTTATTTTTAATTTTATCAGATTGATTATGTTTATCTTTTATGTTAATTATAAACATACATCTCCCTATAATTTAGTTATTTCTTGTCTTTTTAAGCCAATGATTCTTCTTCAATATGTATATATATATATATCGTTAATATAGTTAAAAAGGAATCGTCAATCACAGAACAAATCTTTCTAATTCAAATACAAGTTTTCACAACAATACTGTTACATATACGTACTATTCCATAGTCCTGTAATAAATATTGTTGCAAGGAAATATATACAGCTTTTAACAGACAAATTAGTTATTTCAAAAACTTTATTAGCAAATAAAATGTATATCTATAGAGAATAAAACATAAAATAAATTACTCAAAATGTCCCCCCTTTTGCCTTGACACAGGTATTTAAGCTCCGTCATCAATAGCAGCATGCAGCACTTCTTCAGGAAAGAGGTGAACTGCTCGGACCAGTGATTGATGCTTTCCAAGTTAAGGTGTGCTCTGTGCCATGCCATCCTCTTCAGTTCGGACCAAAGCCGAAAATTTAGTGGGTTGAGATCAGGGTTTCCAGTGGGCCAATCTGATGGAGACATGAACTCTGGAATGTTCTTTTGCAGCCACTGCTGAGTTGACCTGGCTTTGTGAGCTGGAGCAGAATCCTGCTGGAAAACCCAATGGCTTCCAGCAAACAGAGCATCATTTAGAGGCTTAACAACAGGTTTCAAAATATCGTCCTGATAGTTTTTAGTGGCTGTTTTAACTCTGTTTTCACAAAAATGGAGCTTTGTGATGCCATCATAGCAAACTCTCCACCACAGAGGAAGAGTGATGACCTCTTTCCACTCTTCTAATGACTTCCTGGGCTTCTTTAGAGCCATATGCGTACTCACCATCATTTTGGCGATTAAATGTTTCTTTAATTGTAAAAATTTTCTCATCGCTACAAAAAGTCTTTCGATAAAGACCATTGGTGTAATTGCCAAGGAGCACTTTGCATCTATCCACTCTATTTTTTTTTTAGAGAAGCGGTTAGCCTTTGTCCTGTCATTCTTCGAAATGCACCCATCCTAAGGTTATATTTTATTATGCGAGACATTGATCTGACAGAGATTCCCATTTCACGAGACATGATTTGTTTTTTTCGAATGGGATTTCTTCTGAATCGAGCAGCCACTGCCATCACTGCATTTGCCGCTCTCACAGTGCGGGGACGGTCGAGGTCTGACACATACAGATAGGGTCTCATTATATCTATTTATAGTGCGGTACACGAACATACGGCTGATAACCAAAGGTTTCATGGTGTTGAAAATCTCTGACCTACATTTTCCAACTTTGAGTAAGACGATCACAGCTATTCGGTTTTCTTTATCGCCCCACTCCATGTTAACTGAGCGAAAGAAAAATACAAACTAATTGGGATTATTATCCTGGCATGTAAAGAAAATAACGTGAAAGAGGTAAGGATTATCTAAATAATACCTAAGGATGCAAACAAAGTTCAACTTTTGTAGTATTTATGGTAGGACTAGGTACATGTGTTCTTATATAGTGTTACAAATAAATTCTTTCCAAATGAATGAAACTGAGATCTGCCATTGTCTTCATTATCACCTCAACAGATTATGTATATATATGAATTGGTTAGGACATGTCCTGAGAATGGATGAAGCGAGGACAGCGAGAAAGCATTATCATGGGCAACCAGAGGGAATTAGTTCAAGGGAAGACCGAAGACAATAGATAACGTAAAAGAAGGTTTGAGTAAAAATGGCAAATCCATCAGATGCGAGCCAACAGGGATGACTGGGCAAAGAAAATTGTGCAGACCTAGAACCGCTACATGCATCTGCTGCGCCGATAATGAATGAATATATACACTGACAGGCAAAAAATTCCACCCACTTGATTTTTTCATGTTTTCATCTAAAAATATTTCTGCTTTGGGTTGGTCTATTGTTTTTAATGAATAAATAGGTAATCTTTTTGTTTGTTTTCGAATAGGAATGTTAATAAAGAGGACAATAACCCTTAATCCTTTATTCAATGAAATGATTCTAGATTCCAATGTTTACTTTCTATGAAATCAAATGCTCTTAGTGCTGAGGATGTTGCGCGTGGTGTGGCACTTATTGATGATGGACGTTCCATTAGATATGCAGCTAATGCCATCGGAGTTCCATATGAAACTTTGCGAGACGCCGTCAGGCGTTTTCGGGAAACTGGTTCTTACAATAGAAGGCCCTGTTCTGGACGGCCTAGAGTAACAGAACAACGGGATGACCGGTTTTTGACTTTGAGAATTTTACGAAACCGGCACCTTACCGTTGTTCAAGCGATTCATCACCCCGAAGAAGTTCGAGGTGTACAAATTTCTGAACGTACCGCTCGGAGAAGATTAAATGAGTATGGATTAATGGCTTTTCGTCCAATAAGAGGACCAGAGTTGACCAGAACTCACAGAGTAACACGGCTGGCTTTTGCTCGAGAACACAGCCATTGGACTATGGACGAACGGAGTGCTGTACTTTTTACAGATGAGTCAAGATTCGCTCTTCGATCTCCAGACGGGCGTGAAAGGGAGTGGAGAAGAAGAAACGAAACATATGCAGCCTTTAATTTTTCCCCAGAGCCAACCTACCCAACGTGGTTCCTTAATGGTGTGTGCTGGGATTTCAATGAATCACTACGTTGTGGTACACATAAGAGGTTTCATGTTTTTAATTGTTTAAGGTCCTATAGTAGGGTGCACCGTTTAAGAATTATAACCGAAAAAAACATAGTCCTAATATTTTGAAATTTTACTTTGGCAGCCAGGAGTTCTCCTAATGTGGCCCGTTGTAGTACATTTGTTTTTAACATGATTTCATCCATGTATAAAAAATAAAAATGACAGCTTTATCTTCAAAAACCTCTTTTTTAATTCTGTGGTGAATGCCATAATATTTTTCATGGAATGGCATACACTTTCATATTCAAACCTTCTGCTATGATTACGATATTTTGGCCTTCATGACTTCCAGTGGAGAAATAGTTATTCGCAAGTTTAACTAACTACCTGTAGGGAATATAATTGTCGAAAATTAATGTAATTTTATTTGTTTTTGTGGCAATATTATATTAAATATAACAGACAATGTTATTTATAGTATTGGAAAATCATGACTGAACTGGGAGTTCCTGGGGAACTGGGTAAGTTGGTGAGATTAACAAAGACGTGTAGAAATTACCCTAATGTAGATTCATAATACAAGGAGATATATCTAAAGCCTTCAAAGTTCGAACGGGCTAACGGCAGAGAGAGATGGAATATCACCAATGTTGTCCAACTCAGTCCTGGAGAAGGTGATAAGAACAACATCACAGGAAAATGGAGGGGTCCAAGTATCATAAAATCCTTGGATACACAGATGATATAGCTGTTTAAGAAAGTAATCAAGAGCACATTGGGAAATTCGTTAAGACACTGATCAGAGAAGCAGAGCAGATTGTCCTACAAACTATGAAGACAAAACAAAATATATGATAATAAGGCGAAAATTCCACCCACATCATAGGATCTGCGTAGAAGGAAAATCATTCTGACCAACGGGCAGAAATAGACCAGCGTATAACTAGCGTAAACAGGTCTTTCTTCTCGCTTTCAAAGGATTCATTTCCAACATACGACCTGGTACTGTCGGGTATATTGAGGACTAAACACCAAGAAATAGAATAAAGACGAATTCTCAATTATGTGTTATAAGGAATACCAGTTATAAGAAATACCAGTTATAAGGAATTTCAATCCCAAACAAGTGGAGGCCGGTCTTATGTTCTTTCATTGATGGGAGGTACACAAAGCAACATTTTCTAGATTATGATGCTTGGACAGCATCGAACAGATGATATCATATTTCGTTTTGTTAAAGTCTTGTGGTATTAGAAAATGAAGTGTTGCGTAGAATATTTGAAATCATGAGTCGAGTGGAAGTTTGGATGGTTCAAAATATGATTACGTTAGGTCTAACAATAAATATTTGTGTTGAATTTTGATGTAATTATTTGCAGAAATAAATATAGGCAAACATTCTTAGTGCTATCAAGATCAAACATTCCGGCCTCCCAAACTATGTTTATCGGCTCATTCCAAAATATAATAAATAGTTTACATTATATTCTTAATCAATGGAGGCGCCTTATAGTCTGGTTTCATATATCGCATTTACTTTTTTATATCAACAAACAATAAATCAACAATTTTTAAAACAGTACTACCTTTGTTATTAACAGAAAACAGAGTATGCTTATTGTTGCAAGTTCCTTCCCCCACCCTTAAATTACTTATTCCAGCAGTGGTCTTTGGAGAGACAACATCTTATATTTTAGAGCTCTGTTTTAGACATCTTGTGGCTTATATCATGGGTAAGTTGTCTATTTTTCGATTATATTTCACAATAATAGATACAATACATATTTATCTTCAAAATTATTATATATGTGTTATATATACCTATTAAGAAGAGAAGAGTTTGGACTCTCTTCTTCAACCCAAATGAACAAGTAATACAGAAATATTTATATGAAAACTTCAATTTGAAACCTTATTCAATACTTAAAATATGATATTGGGTAATGATTTTGATGTTGCCCTCAGGCTTTTAGGGTGGGAATAGAACGCTTATTCTGAAAGATTGTTTACATTTAGGTTACGGTTATGTTAGGCTACCTGACGTAAGTCTTAATCCCCACTGCTTTAATTGCTGAAAAGTAATGATAGTAACAGCACCAATTGACTTAAATGTAATTCTAGAGTATATATTAACGTTCTTCAACTCATTATGGAAATATTCGTCAGTACGTTTACTTCGGACGAAATAAATATAGTATATAAATAACCGTAATGTATTATATACCTATATGTTAATTTTATTTTTTATTTAGTCTCTTCAAGTAATATGGATGTGTTAATTAATGATTTGTATTTTTATAATAAAGCAATACATATAGTAATTAACCAATTAATAATTTATTAGATTTTGAATTTATTGCTCTTCCATCTATTTTGTTTTATCTGTTCTCTTTCTGAACCAATTTCCATTTAATAATATAAAATCTATAAATTTGTTACTAGCAAAGTTTAAAATAAAAATTTATTGTGAAATCGATTTTATAGTTGATTTATCAAAAATATTTGAGCCTATTATATTATGTTATGGGGGCTATCCCATGCAAAAGTTTAATTTGAGACCCACCCCTCACAGTTTTTAATTTAAAATATTATATATCCAGCTACAAACATATGGAGAAAATATCAAATTTTGCCTTATAATGACAAGTAGTTTTAGAAATGATGATCATTTTAAGTTTAACAGATTTCAACTTTAAAGGAAAATCAATAATTATGAATCTGAAGCCTTTTAATGTGTTCATTTTTCTTCAATTGTTTTAGAGAATCAAATTAGACTATCTATATAACTATTGGCTTTATGATCTTTCATTTCATTTATCTTCTATCATTGTTATCTGATATGATCAATACTCATAGTTTCAGGCTTACATTAAAAAAATAATTTCATTCTGTGCCTATTGCATCTGTTTTTCAACTGATCCATTTTGATTTGGATATGGATAAATACCTGGACCCTGTTCTATGTTCAAATTATGTAATTTTTGGCCAATAGTTTGGATGGTTTGGATTTCAAACATCTCATTTCTCAATTCACTAGTTTCATTTTGCTGTGGAGCACGAAATATACTTTAGAGAATTCGTTTTTACATAAAACAAACTTTGTTTTATCATTATTCATTCTATAATCCATTTTTACACCACTGAAAGAACCTTCGAAGTAAATAATGATGTTGCTTATAGAACCCTCATTTCTTAGACTGTCTGTGTCCCTTAACAGGGGTGCCCAGAAGGGAGTTTCATGACGCTAGTTGCGCCATCAAAATTTTTGAGGGGGCACATGTTGACTGATTTTTGAATTTTTGAGGGGGCACATTTCGATGGAGCTTTAAATTTTCAGAGTGAAAAGTTTCAAAACAGAGAACTAGGAGGAAAAATGGGACAGACTACACCAAGTATAATT